TCCCAGATCTTTTATTTAAATTTATCTGCTAGCAGTTGTCGATTATGATCTTTGCATTTATGCGTGTGGGTTCGCCCACAGCGGTGCTTTGTTTTTTTAAGCTGCTTAGACTAGGTAATATATAATAAAAGCTTGAGAAACTTCTAACTTTATGTAAATAAACTTTCTGATCTAGATTACTTTCGATTTTAATAAAATCATGGAACTTTAAAGAGAATTTTCCAGCATGGGAAATTTCGCTTGTATTACAATTGCATACGAATCTCGAGCCATTTCACTGCATTCTTTGACGACTTCTTTCTGGCATGGAGATTTTCTTACTGCGTCGACATTTAAAGTACAGTGGCAACTCCCTATCTGACAATCGCTTGAGCTCTTCCATCAAGAAGTACAGCTAAAAGCCCACCAGTGGAAACCACTGCTAAAACCACTACTATGATAATATCAAAAAGGTTACTGGCTGACCGCCTTGCAGAGCCTTACCACGGCTTTCGATACTTCATTAAAATAAAATCATGCCAAGTCAGCAAATAATCACGGAATTTATGCAAGTGCCCGTACTGTTCTTTACGTCTCATTAAGACGGCCGATACAAGTATTCAACTGTTCTAGGATGTACGTATTTAGAGCACTTGAATAATACCTCTAGCATACGAGCGACTTTCATTTCTGAATCGACTCTTGCTGGCTTTTGGGCCATCTGGGCAAGGTTCACGACAACCGAAACAAGAAATAGCGAACTACCCAGTTAAAGTATGCATTTTACGTTCTACTTACTCTTCAAGAAATTTGAGCTCGTTCAGTGAGAAAATCCAAATGATTGCCCAATAGTTGAAAAATACCTTTACTTATTGGCAGGAAATCCGACATTCCAAGAGAAGATTACTTTAATATCTTGAAAAATAGATCCTTCGAAGAAATGACTTATTATTATGCTTCTACTTTTTCGCCCAGGTAGATAACGAATTCCCTCATGTGGTAAGACCGCTGTTGCAACTGGAGAATTTTTTTGGAACAATTTTTTTCATATTTAAGTGGTAAATGATAATGGGTTCGAGAGAACTAGGTTTGTCTCATCCTGGTCTTCAAACCTCGTTAAAGTCATCATTCAACCAGAGACAACGTGCTTCTTCCACAACATTTCGATAGCTACCCGTTGAAAGCTGCTCGAACTCAGAAATGAAATTGTGAGAATTGGCTAAAGACTAGACGCAAAGGCAATTTTCAAAACACACGACAACAGAAATCGAAGGAAACATGATCCAGAGAAACGTGGAACCGTTTTTCAGGTCGCCTGCAGCGGCTGAACTGATGTAGAAACTTCATGCAGTGGTGTGTTGTTTTGCAGCAGATAGACACGAGTTATTCGTGCCCGTTTCATTCTTTACTTACTTGGATACTTGGACGGTCCGCCTTCACGAGCTGTGTGGACCCCAGAATATTTGCCATTCGTTCCTTTCTCTCGCAATCGTAGTCCGTGGTGGTGGTATTGTTCGAGCATGGCAGCGCTTGTGAGTCTCATGCCGTGATCTGTAAAACAACTGCAGCTGCGAGTACAGCTGATTAACTGTGTTTACGAATACGTCCGTCCAACGTGTAGGTGGTCGTCCAAGAGAACGTTTGGATTCTCTTGGAGTCCACTCTACTGTTCTTTTCGCCCATCTGTCGTCGGTCTTTCTAATTATGTAATCGGCCCATCTATGTTTCGCTGTTGATGTATATTTTCTTGGATCTCGAAGCTGTGACAGATTTCGAAGGTCAGAGCTTCGAATTCCGGCTACATATTGAGAGTGCCGGTTAAATTTCAGAAGATATCGCTCAGGCGCTCTGTGAGCAGTTCGAAGCATTTTTGACGTAGTTGGAGTATCAACCCATGTCTCTGCAGTATAAAAAAAAGCTGAAAGAACCGTAAAATCAAAGATATGAGCGCGCATTTTCGGGTCCTCCCGTTGGTCGGTGACTTCTTTGAGAGGCCCAAATGCGACCCAAGCTGCTCTCCTTCTTCTATCTAGTTCCTCCCTCATGTTGTTTTCCATGTTCATTGACCTCCCGAGGTAAACGAACGAGGTGGTCTCTGCAATGACAGAGTCATCCAAGTCAATTTTTCCGCCTTCGCACCGCTGGTTTTTCATGAACTGGGTCTTCTTTCGTTTTATGCGAAGTCCGATCTTTCTCCCCGCTTCGTTGAGCTCGTTGATCATCACATCTACTTCACTAGTACTTCTTGAGAAGATGACAATGTCGTCGGCAAAACGACGGTTTGTTAGGAATTTTTCATCAATACGTATACCTTTCTCATCCCAATCGAGTGACTTCATTATCCACTGCAATGAGGCACTGAACAGCTTTGGCGTTATTGTGTGGCCCTGTAGAACCCCTTTTCCTATGAGTATTGTAGGAGGTCGATGGGAAGCTGCATCTTCGTAGTGCAGCTCCGATAACAGTCGGACAGAGTCCTTATGTAGGACGGCTCCACTCCTTGGTCGACGAGCGCTGATAGGATTCCATTCGTTTCGACACTGTCAAACGCTTTTTCATAGTCAACAAGGGTTAGGACTAGAGGCAAGTGGTATTCCCAACAAACTTCGATAACCCTGGATATCGTTTGGATGTGGTCCATGCAGCAAAATCCTTTTCGAAATCCTGCTCGCTCGACTGGTTGCACCTCATTCAATGTCCTTGATATGCAGGAGGGGATAATCTTCGTGAAGAGCTTGTGGAATACATTTAACAAGAATATGGAACGATAGTTACGAAGATCCCTTCGGTCTCCTTTCTTAGGCAGGATGACCGTGCGCGACGTTCTCCACTGGTCTGGGACTTTTTCCATTACATGTAAATCGTGACCTCCAGCTCTAAGGAAATCGGCAGTGATATTATCGGGTTCTGAAGCTGTGCCCCTTTTCATGCTTTCTGTCGCCACTCGAACCTCCGACGAAAGAATTCCGGGTAGTTTTTCTCCAGCGTGGATATTAGGGCCCTGGACGGAGATTGTGAAACGGAAAAGGTTGGTGTAGAACGTTTCCGCTATTAATTCCATATCATGGCGGGAAGTTTTGACGATCCCATCTTCGTTCATCAGAGCTGACAGAGGAACATTACAATCACACAAGTCTCAACGGCATTTTTTCAGACTGCTTCTTTTCTCTGCTGCTTCCAGTATTTTCTTCTGCTTGTACCGTTGTAGATCTTGCTGTAAAGCTCTTCGGCAGCTGGCATTTATTACTAGCCATGTTAAACGTGTTGCAGTAGGGTCAAGCTTCAGTTTCCTTCTCTTTTCGAGCAACTCCTTAGTAGTGATGGAGATGCGATCCGATCTTCTTGCTGGAGGAACTGAAGCTAACTCAGCACAGCTTTTCAATCCTTCGACAAGCAGCTCGTAGTCTTCGATCGGGTCTTCTTTAATTTGCCAGCCACCTTTGGGTAGGATTTCGTTCAGGAATGTTCTCGTTGTAAACAGCTAGATTTTCTCCTCGTGCTCGATGAAGAGAGTTCCTTTCCAGCTTGCGGCTGAATCGAATCTTCGCACGAAGAAGGCGGTGATCGGAACCAGTACAGAATGATGGGACTACCGATGTATCAAACGGGCACCATCTTCTATTTCTCAGGATATGGTCTATCTCCGCATGAGTCATATCGTTGGGAGACTCCCATGTCCAGCAGCGGCTTTTTTTCCTCTGGAAGAACGAGTTCCCATGGAAGAGACGTGCTGCTCACAGGAGTCCTACGGAACGGTTCCCATTCTCATTTCTTTCTGCTATTCCAAAATTTCCGATTCTGTATTCGCTCTCGTTGGCCTTTCCTATTCTGGCGTTGAAGTCTCCAACAACAAATTTATGATATGCTTTATCATTGCGGATTACTTCCTCCAACTGATAGTAGAACGCATCTAATTCGTTCTCATTAGCTGCGTCGGTTGGTGAGTAGCAGTTGATGACAGTGGTCTTATTGTGATGCGACAGCTGAAGACGGAGGACGGCTATGCGAGGGGAAAGGATCACGTATGAGTCGACGAGATGGACAGTGGGCGGGTGGACGACAAAGCCTACGCCACGACATTTCATGACGGGATTTTTTCTCCGCTGATCACAAGGGTCCCGTTGTTCAGTTAGCGTACGTCGGTCTTCATGATTTTTGTTTCTTGTAATGCGATCATATGAAATTTAATTCGATCTGCGGCTACAAGAAGGGCGTGAACATCGGCGTCTGTGGATAGTGCTGTGGCATTTTACGTGCATAGTAAGAAATAATCTCCATGGCGTGTGTTCGTCAGATCCGGTTCCAATGACGTCCTGCGTAACCCGAGATTTTTTGACCTTTCACCTGTCATCTCACCGCCTGTCGTGACGTCATAGACGGGAGCACCCAGTGTGCGAGGTACTGAGGCTGGCCTATTGCTGGTCGTGCAGCTCGGTCTTTCCTAGAGTCCTGACGTAACCTTGCAAGGGCGTATCCAGGTCTCCACCACGATGTGGATCAGAGGGAGGTGTGTTTTCGGCGACGAATCCTTCGCTCGATCTTCCTACTAGTTGATTCGGAAAGATGTTAAAACCGAAATCAGAAACGAAAGTAGGAAGGTAAAAGTAACCGACCGCTCAAGGACGTTGTAGAAGCCGAAATCCCGTTTTATCCTTTATGTGTCAGTTAACCGAAGATTCGCTTTACGTAAAGGTTTGCGCCGAAACGCTTGTCACAAGTGATAGTGCTATGGAAGAAGGCATCTTCTAGAAGCCTATCTAACAGAAAGAACTCATAGGTCTCGTCTGGAAGTTGTTTTCTTCATGGCAACTCGAATCGCTGTAACCAGATGTATGAAGTGCTTCCTTCTTTGTTTTAGCGCCATCCGTGTGAGTCAAACATACAGTGCGAGCAATAGTTTGCATTGGTAAGCCGGTATGGAGTTCTACGCTCACTGAAAATCTGCAAGTTCTCTTCGATAGTGGTTAAGAACTGAGTGCGCTCCCCATTTGGCCAGTACTCGAGTACGGATATCGTTCAAGATGGAGGCTCATGTCACCAATGAAAAATCCCAAGAGCTGGTGAGTTACAGCGGAATTGTTCGTGATGTTTTCACACAAGGTGCATTTTGTGCAATCAGGGGAGACACAAGTGCTGCAGGTTAGTTATCTAAATGACCATTCGAACGAGATGTTTGGCCATTTTGTCATTTTTCTCTCTACTCTTTTATTTCAAATATTTCGCTTGTTTTCCATTTACTGGGTAGCTATGTGGAACATTCCACTGCGTAATCAGCGTTAGTGTCCACAAAAGTTGAGTGAAATAGGGAAAAAAATTTTTCGCGAACCAATGTACTGGTTTTCCTCCAGTCAAACAGATTTTCCCTTCCAAAAGGCTGCCCTCGTGGAAGTTTTAATGACTGCATCCAATATGCTCATTATAATTTCATTGAATTTCAAATACTTTGACTGAAGTCTTTCTAAAATTCTGATTTTAGATCAGATTTTTAAAGTAATACGGACTGCCGTATTGACGGTACTGAGAGAAATTTTTACGAAATCACTTCAAAAAACTGAAAAGCCCGTGATGATGAAGTGAGTTAGAAGATCTCAAAGTTCGAACAATATTTACAAGGCGTTGTTTTCTTGTTCAGCAATCGCGAGGTTGTTATACAGCACACGTTGTGAACCATATGCGACTATAATCAGCCGTTCTAACCTTCCTCATTGAAAGTCACGAAAAAAGCGGCTCTGAAGAAAGCGGTACTGCCGAAACGTCAGCTACTATTATATTGCATTGTGTTTTTCTATGGAAGTAAATGTATGTTGCATAACAACCTCGCGATTGCTGAACAAGAAAATGACGCATTCATATTCCAATGCCGAGGTTACTAGACAGTCGATCCTGGGAATATTTGCAATATTTCCCTTTGCACGCGATGCAGTGTGGTTTTCTGGCATGCAACCACAAAAACAAGGTCGGCTTTGTTAACCTTTTTATTTTTGCCTACTATAATTTTTACGGTAGGTTATGATGTGAGGTGCAACCACGATGATGCTGAGATATTCGCAAAACCTGGACACTAGGCGAGTTCGAATCACGATTACCCTTTCCGGGCCTCGCGTATTACGCACTTCACCATCGAGACCCTTGATCTGCGTTTCTCTCGGCCTGTTTTCTACCTAACGCTGCCATCAGCAATTACGCGTCAGCTGATTTGAAATTCGGCTTTATTTAGTCTTTCCATCGTACCATTCTTTCAAATTCTTCAACTACTAACATTCCTCATTTTAGATAGAGGAACCTAGCGTGGTCATTCATCGACCTCCAGATAGTTCGGGATTGCGACAACTGCAACAACGATTTAACGAGTTGAAACGATAGAACCGAGATCTACTGCATGCCGAGCAGGTTCGCATATGGTCTGAGCACTTTCGCCACTATCGTTGTCGTTTCTGTATGCCAAATGCTTTACCAATTATAGGCAGCAATTAAACGCTTGGAAGCTAATCAGAGTGCTCTTCAAAACAAACTGCTTTCAATTAACTAAAGTGAGCACAGATACAATGCGTTGCTTGGAAGCGGAGAAGTTGGAAAACAGCCTAGGATCTTTGGAGATTTTTACTTACACTACCACTACAACTTCGTCATCAAGAGTGCTCAAAATTAGGTTGCTATTGTCTTGCTGATATCTAAAGACAGTGCCCGTCATTTTTTACTTGGCTTCACAAATGCTGCGAATGTAACGAAAATAAGTGAACCACATCTTTTCTTTTTCTTTAGAGCTCGAGATTATGACGAGCTGAGCCGACAGATCTCTTCTACTGATGGAAAGGTGATAAAATTTACTTCAACATAAGATGATGTTGAGAAGAGTTTCGTCTTGTAGATAGCGTCTCTTAACAACGAGATTAACGGTTTGAGGAACACTACGGATCGTCAAATGAATGATATTATGCATATTAATAATGAGTTGAAGAGTAGAGACTTATCAGTGAGTTTCCCTCACTTTGTAATGATTTTTATGGTGAGAAATCAGCAGTTATCAGAATCAGTTCCAGGATTTGTTTTCTACATCGTACTATTCGTTGATTTTAATGCGCAAAGCGTGTGGCAAAAAATTAAGCTTAATCCCAGCCATCCGTCACTCAGAAACAATAGTGCCATTAAATATAAATGCGTTATATTTATTGCCTATTGATTAGTACCTAATCATAATTGCAGATTTTGAATTAGTAGAGTAGGACATTATGATATTTCTGGCTACTCTATACTTAGCCATTATTATATTGCGCTTGACGAATTTCCTTTTGCCCTAAAATGCTACTTTCGGACCAAACCTTATAGAAAATCCGAGCAACTTCTGCACAAAACCGTTAGTTCAGTGCAACAAATCGATAACAAAGTGCGAGATTTGCACTCACAAGTTAGGCTGTTCAAGCAAAATGTGGATATGGAGAGACAAGATCGAATAAAGGCGGAGAATTCTTCAAGTGACAGGTGGTGAACATTTTGAAAATACTTCTACAGGTTATGGCAAAATGTGAGTTAGGCCTATCATTGTGGGGTCAGATGATTTCGTCTTACCCCTTCCACGACGTTGGGATTTAAGGCTGCTATCGCACAGTCGGTAGGATTGTTAGGAATCCATAAGGGTAAGCGATCTAAGATCTGTTGGGTGGTCTGTAATGTTGTTCCTATCATGTTGTCTTCCTTAATTTGGAAGTATTAACGCCAGGTTACAACGAGTGCAAAATTTAATAAAACAGCAGAATGGCATGAAGAATGATGAAGTTTTCAGCAATCTGAAGAGAAAAACTGATCACACAAGGTAAGATAGCCCGTCTCAAATTTATTGTAGCTGTCTGCTTATTCTCATTAGTCAATTTTCGGAAAAACTGTCCGAGGAAATAAAGTGACTAAATGAAAAAGTTGCTTCAACTACAACTGATTTACCACAAAACATTACCGACGTACAACGAAAACTCAACGGTGACCTAAATCAGAAATCTGCCCCGTTGGAGGTGAGCGACAAAAAGTTTTATCCGATAGATAGCTCGACCAAAGAGATGCAGAACTCACGAGACAAAGAGAAAACACATTTTGAGACTTCACTGGAACGATATAAATGCTCAAGACGGTCAAATTATTGGAAACTTATTGAGCACACTTTTGAAAGCTAGCTTCCATCTAACCTTGGCATGAATAGTGGGTACTTTGTTATATAGACAGGGTTGCATGAGGTTATTTTGATTTTTTTTTGTGCTGCGCCATCACCGTCTTCAGAAGAGTAGTGATTCGACGGAACTACTCACAGTGCTTATTTTGTGCAAGGTATAGTCTTGCGATCGTTCCGAAACGTTAGCCAAGATAAAAATGTCTTCAATAAACTCGTACTACTTCATCAGCATACAGAATAAAAGTGATCCGAATCAGTTTCCATCATCAGCACCTATATATAAAGTGCAAGAGCCTAGGTGACGAGAAAGTATGACCTTAGCTATAAACTGGGAAATCGATGTGTCTCCAACGCACTCTGTCCTTCCCAGAGATGGAGGTGCGTAGCGAAAATATTTGACCGGTTCTGAACACAACAATCCACGGAAAAATTTATATCCCGAAAAGAAAAATTATATATCATTATTGATTGATTTCCAATTTTTTGTATTTTTGTTTTTTCTTAGACCATCCTTCTGAAACTTTTCATTGCAACATCATTAAAATGCAATACGTTTTCCGGAGTCATTACGGAGAACGCATTATTTAAAGGTTCATGGGGAGTGTTTTGCTTAGCAGTGCTGGTCAAGAATAACTATTTCGAAAGCTGCAGTAAATGGAGAAACCATCAACAAACTGTATGTCTTCAGTTCTTCGTTCTTATGAACTTGTTTAGGTTGAAGAAAGATAATGAATATCTTTGTCGTTATGAAGTTTTGCAAACAAACCCTGCTATATATTCCCACTGCATGACTTGTTGATGTATTCTATTTTAAAGCTTACCTCTTCCTCAAAAATTTTCCATATAACACTTTTCTAGCGCTCATTATGCAATTATTTTGAACTGATATAAGTTACGTTCTCAAGCAGTGAAGATCGCATGGTTCTGTTTCATAAGTTCAAATTTCGACATAAACAATAACAACTCAATTTCATCGAAGTGTGGACCAGGAAAGAGCTGTCGATCACCTAGTACACATCTGGTCTGGAATGATTCATACCGGAGATGTAAGCTTCCATGGCGCAAAAGGGCGAGTGCTGGAGTAAGCAATTGATAACTATCGCACTATCGTCTGCAGGCGATAATCGAACTCCTCTAAAAGTAATTCGAGAGTTGTAAATAGGAAAAAAACTTAAAACTCAGATTCAGCATTTCTTCGGCACTCACGAAACACTGAAGGCGAATAAAAAAGTCGATAAATGTGTCCCTAATAAATTGAATGAGTGCTGGAGACGCCGCTGTGAAGAAGTCCCTTCGGCGATTCTTTATGAAACAATCTATTTCTCGATTTCATCGTGATGTGCGATGGAAAGTGGATGCTGACGACAAAAGAAGACATGTAGTGCGTGGTTCAAGTTGAAGCTCTTAAACACTTTCCAAAGTCGAATACGCACCAAATGACGGTTATGATGCCTTATTCGCTTTCAGAGGAAAGAGCATGCAGTAGAATATACTAAATAAAAAAAAACAAAAAAAAACCCTAGCAAAACGCTTGGAGAGATACTGTCACGAAACAATGAACTCCTGCAAAAACTACAGCGTGCAAAGCCGGAGCAAGTAGAAAATTCCGAAGGCTAATCCACAGCAACGTTCAATATCACGTCGACCACTAGCGCTGCAAAGTTTGATGAGCAGAGGACCATGAAATCCTACCTTAAAAAGAAAAACGATAAAGCTGTCCACGTTGATCAACCCCTGATGGATGCCGTTATACATTCGGCTTCGTTAAGAATCGTTTGGAGTTGATTAAATGCATATCTGGCCCTTACAATGACTCACGGTGGCCTACCGATGATGTATCAAGCTAGTGCTGCTATCCTCCCAAACAAGTCTGGTACCAATTTCCCGATCACGGAGGGTTGGAGGGAATGGTGGGCTATGGGCGTCGTAATCAAATCCACGTGTGTGTTGCAGGGCGCCTCCGACCACTGCGCCACACGCGCCCTTGCCTCTCCACAGCTTTCGTCCAACCTCGCGCGCACCAAAAGTGGTTTATTTATGCATCTACAGAAACGCTATCAGAAAAATCTTAAATAATTGAGACAGCAAGAAGAATCCCTTTTGCAGGCTTTCTAACTTCCTGCCCTCGTGATAATGTTTTCTCGCTCTACCTACCCTCTTCTTTTTTTTCGCAACCCGAATAACGAAAAATCACCTCACCAAAGTTGAATATTGTTTTCTGAAGTGCATGGGTCTACTCTAGAGATTGTTAATTACCTTATTCTGTCTTTCCAAGCAGGTCGTTCCACATTATTGCCAAACGAACTCTATTATCGAGAATTCCGTTGCGGGTTTCCACTTGAGTCGTAACATTAAAGAAACTCAGACGTACACGTGCTACTAATCTCTCCTCAATAGAGCGATCTCCATCGAATAGAGCTGGTGCCTGGAGAGATTCCTATTTTATGGTCGCAGGATTTATAATTCTAACCTACTCTTTTCTGTGATTTCATATGGAAGCCTGCCACCATGAATTCACAGAAAGATTTGCTTAGGTGAATATGAGCCTTAGAACCCCGTAGAAGGCACCAAGCTCGGAGCAGCTGTCAGCGCTAGAGAACCCGATCTCACCACGCCGTTCTTATTTTTTCGTTACTACGACAGATGAAGGAAGTATAGATGCGCGAAAGATGAAAAAATCTCTTAAGAGTCGACAGAATGAGTGCAAAAAAATCATTAGTCTAGTGATTCGAAGCTGTCGCCCTTTTTAATTTTTGAGAGGACCAATTAGTCATTGATAACGTTTTGCAAACTATCTTGAGAACAGTTATAGTTCGAATGAACGCATTCCAATGCTTCTTGGAAACTTTTCGCTCATTATTACACCCTCAACCCCTTTCTTACTTTCAGCAGATGAGCCTATTCAAGTCTTTCGTTCTTGGAAAAAAAATTTTCAATCTTGACGAGCTTCAAATACCAAAGACAGATAACTGCATGTGTTCAGTCAAACGTTATCTACTTCCAGTTTGATATGCACTATAATGCAGAATGGCTGCGAAATTGAAATATTCGTTATGTTCTCGAAAATAACTGAATGAACAACACTTAGAAAAATATGTCTTGCTCGTCAAGAGTGTTAAATTCATAGAGAATCCGATGATTTTCTTCAATAAGCAGACACTAGATTGTTATTATGGAATTTATTAGGATACAATAGCTGACGTTTCGGCGGTTTCGCCTAGAGCCGTTTATTTGTTGTAAGTATTTAAGTCAGTTGGTGGATAGCACCACACAGTAATACATGGGCGATAACTTCAAAGAGAATCGATGTGAATTCTGTGTGATCCTAGCAATTAATCTAAACCTATTCAACAGCAAACTGTTCTATGCAGGCGACAAATTATGCGCCAATTCATTTTTCAGGCATTGCAAATTCAGAACGAGCAGAATGGTAATGCCATCCGTGAGGCAAGAATCTTCATTGACGAGCGACTGAGCGCTCATGGAAAGCAAATCGTTCAACAAACAACTGCTGGTATTTTCCGATCAACTGTGATCGTGATCATCGATCGAACATTAAATTAATGCGAAAATTCTAGGCCGATCGTGAAAAACAGAATGATCAGTTCCAAAAAGTAAATGACACGACGGTCGCGCTCGAAAATCATCTTCAGCTTGACAACAAAAGGATCGACACCATAATGAATTCGGAAATCCGGGCTATGTTCTTAGTTTATCATTAAAATTGGACAAATACCAAGCACTTTTACAGCTAAATAAGTGGATGAATCACTAACAACGTTCATATATCTTAAAGAACCGCGATAATACTTCCACTATAACTGAATCGCCGTAAACGCTTCAATTTCGAGTCATAAATGCAACTCACCGCATTCTCCTTGAAAACTATTATTCTGAATAATTCACTTAATCAAAGTAGACTCTACTGAATGAACTTCTTTCATGAAAAGGTGAAAGGGAACAGAATCATCCTAGGTTTTATACAGAAAGCTCAACGAGGAAAACCTGCTATCCAAGATTGCTGATCTTGAGAATCGACTAAATTCATACGTTGAAAGCTTGACTAAATCTATTGACGATGTGAAAACGGGCCAGGAGAACGTGACGATCCCTTCATTGGATGTAGATGCTGTAGGTTTTTGTTGGTATCTAAATGGACTACATGAGAGTGTGCTTACTATTAGCAAGTATCGTGGAATCAAATATCGTGCATAGGCTACCAGTTGTAGTTTTATAAGCTACTACTCAAAGCATCTTCTCATGCTCAATAAATCATATCCTATTTTTTTCTGTGTTAGACTACGATATCAAATTGCTCAGAACTGTTACCATAATCTTTTCGCTTCATTTCAAAAGTTTTGAAAAAAAAATCAAAATTTTTCTTCACTTTAAAGTCTACTTCATTTGCAAACCAAACTTTCTTCATTGTGGTCAATCCCAAGCCCTGATTTGACGACATCTCCGTGTTTGCCTTCTTTCACTCATCCATTCATGCGAGTGTGTCATCGAAACTTGTTCTTTCTGAATGAAGAACGTTAGTTACGGTGTCACTGATGTACTTCATTCTTTTCATTACCATAAACTTCCAAAGTAAAAACAACCTTATTAACAACAATTTATCAGGTTGCGTAAAATTTAGTGCATAGAGACAGTGCAGTGCTCAACTATATATAAAAAAATTATCTTCTTTTGGGTTATTTTGCAGCTTCGACGTCAAATGGAAGCTATCGTTGAAGATAAGAATAAGTTGAACATGGAAAGGCTATTGAAATTAGAAGGGAAAATGAGTAATTTTCATGCCGGTAAGTCGAAACTCACCAGCGGCTCAACATCAATGATCAGCAGCTATTCAGGTGGGATTTATGATGCAACGATTGCCTTCTTTATCATCATTTTCTGCTCATGGTTCTTGTCACGAAAATTTCGTGTCTCATCACCATGAGAACGCTGACCTTATTCCTAAATAAAACGTATCGATGCTATCTCATGTCTATTTAATAATGAACCGAATGTATTCTGCCCTTTTAATATTCTTGAGTTTTTTTAAAGATTTTCTAAGTGTTCCTTTCTATTGCAGAGAAGACAGGGAATGATGTGAAATAAAACCATAGAAATACTGAGATACGAGCAAATGTCAAAACCTCAGTTAGACTTCAAAATAGCGACTACCCTTACCAGGAGCTCAAGTTCTGTCCAACACACCAACCGAGGATCTTGCTTTGCCTTTCTGCCAAAAAATTTTTTACTTCATTGGTGCTATCAACAAATGCTCATTAACGGGAATGGTCTGAAGAGCACAAATCAGCGATTGTAGTCGACAAATCGACCAGTAGTCGTTGGCTCAAAGCCATGCTGTGCTTCCAGGTTTTGGTTATAGTATTTCAGCATCCCTATAGTTATTACTTAATAGTCTGAAATAAACGAAGGGTTAAAGGATCCTGCAAACGATGCTATAATGGTTCCATTTCGTTAGATTATTAACTTTGCGTTTAGGTCTTTTAATCATAAGAAAGTATCACAGCTGCTTGCAAACCTGGATGAGAACGACGTCTATGTGAGAAACTTGAAGAACCAATTGAATAGATTTGGTGGCTTAGACGAAGATATGGAGAAGGTACACGACAGAATCAGAAATAAGGTGGAAAAGCAAGTTCCAAAAGACGTAAATTTTTTATTTTTACAAATTATGTGGTTATGGTGTCACATTTCATAATCATTTCACGATTCAACTGAACAAATTGTCATCAAAGACTGACAACATCATACAATAGCTGAATTCTCGTCTCGATAAAGAGGAGGAGGAAAGGCTGATAAGAACATCTCCAATATCTTATCCGATTAATTTATCGGCTTTCTTTTATTTTTCAAACTGAAATTTCCTTTTGCAAATCGATAACTTATGAAGGAAAATCTTTTTCAGATTTTTTTGCTATCAAAAAGCTCCAAGAAGCCTTTCAAAAACGTCAAAGTCGAGGCCAGCAAAGCTTTGAGAAACAATCCGATTTCCGTATGAAATGTAATTTTTCTGGCTTTATGACGAGTAACCAAAGAAGGATAGGGAGATTGACGCTGTTGACATACTCGCATTAAAGTTTGACATTCGGCGGAATGAGCTACTAAACTTTTAAGTCCCAGCCGTTTCGTCTCTTTTATTGCAAACATAAAAGCACTATATATTGGGAATTGGAAGAGCTTAACTGCTTTACATAAAGCTTATGCATCGTCATCGTTACTTTTTATATCATCTATAAAGCCCAGGGTTCTCTTACGCATTCTTCTTAAAAATCGCAACCTTCGTTTGAATACATCGAAAATTTCCCATAATCTCATTATCCATGTCTTACCTTTACCTCTTTTACTATGCGAAGAACAAAAAGAGCTCTCATTTCTGAGCAGTTCTCATGAAAATAAGAGCAAACTAAGTATACGCAGTTTTAACTTAACTCCTGCAATAATATCCATCATGAATTGATAGCGACTTGACAAATTTGCTCTTCTAAATTTTGTGAGACCTTTTCGTATATTATCAAAATAGGTGAATTTTCTAAAGCTCATTCGAATCAATTACAACTCGTCCTGTTGGTCAAGCACGGGTAGATTCGGACGCTCTATTGTCATGGTTTTAAAAATACATAGGTTAGGAAGTTTTTTTCCTTAGGATGATCAAACAGGGTGGTGAAACTTGCGATGTGGAGAAAAAAAAACTTAAAGCTCTGAACATAGCAAAAGTGAGTCCCTGACAACTGAAAATGGGAAATAGAGTCCTCTGAGCTAAGCACAGACAATTTTTTACTTCAAAATAAACAGAGGGATTGAGGCCTTTTACGTCAATAGACTGATTTCGGCAGCTCTGCAGAAAAGGCATAAATTGTGGTGTCACTGTTTTCTCGAATTCTTTCATACTACTTGCAACAAAATGTGATATTTGAATAATATGTGTTTTTGTGTTCTATTTGGTTTCCCATAATTTTTAAGCAGATGATCGGTGATTATTGGATAATCGAAACCTTCGGCCATCAGAGACATATCCCATTAGTATCAAATTCTATTACGATTTATGATATGGACCAGAACTCAAGGCGATATCGACGAATGCAAGATTGCCATCAAGAAATTGGCTGAATCAGTGACAACTGTGAAGAATGTTCTGGAGAAAAAAATCACAAAACAAAGTCGGAAGGTGAGAAAGACTGTTAGTTTTGGTGAACGCAAGAAGTTTTCTTCGTAAACATCAAGGTTGGACTAAAGCAAAAACGGATGCTAATAAGCTGGATAATATCCGAGCTCTCTTTCCTCGTTTATGAATAGCAGAATTTCGGAAAATATTTCACTAATGTTACAGCAAAAGTTATATCAATGATTAGATGAATGACTACGATTTTGAATTCCCATTCATCTACTAGACAAACATTCACTGTTCTCGTTTACCCGAAAAACAACGGCGAAAAACCTTATTATGATTGCACGACGTTCACCTTCTAAAAGCCGGATTTCCACTTCGATTAGAGAATCAGCTCAACAAAATCCAGAAGCTGATCGTGACGACGTCGACAGCATTACTCGAACAGTCTGAAAGCGTTTCTGCGATTTTGCCCCCATCCACGTGAAAAATGCTTCCTGGCATAGGTCATTTTTCAAAGTGTTTTCTGCATTGCAATCTTTTCTTTCAGTTCTTTTTTCGCTTTCAGATAGAAGCTGTTATCAATCGCCTTTCGCGTTCAACGAATTTGTAGTCGAGCTTTCACATTTACCAGCACTCTTCGCCGTTGCTTGTTCAATTTAAACCTATTCCTAACTGAACCATCTGACTTTCATTAATCATCGGTGTTTCGCAATTTCTGCTCGTCGTTATAGCGTGAAATCCATAACGACCTTTGTAAATACATGTGAACGTTTAATTACTTCAACTTTGCACACAAACACGCAATACATGCACATATACACGTACGTACAAAAAAAAACATATACATACATACATACATGCATACACACACACACACAACGTCCCCATTAACCAAGAATCAATTGTGGGTTCACTATACGGCATACACCACTGCAATTCACATATCCGTGCACGAATGTTTTTCTCCTACTTGCCTCACGCTACTGCAATTAGCGATTTCAAGAATGAGGAATAAGAACAAATGTGTCCGAGTTTTCAGCACTGACAATAGCCATTCTGCTTATGGTCAAACGCATTTCACATGAAGGCGAAAGATTTCGCGTACTGAAGGACAAACTCCATAATGCCGACTCACTCGCGACTCCCAACGACTTTATGCATTTTCGCTTTGCTCACCGCCTCCTGGTTAGGCCCTTCGCAGCTCCAGACTGATTTTCATTGCACGTCGTCTGCCGCTCATCAATATGTGTGTGAAGATTTCGTTATATGATGGTGCTTCTTTAACTGTCATTTTTCTTCTAATGTGCACATAATTAGGTGATTCAATCTTCAGTAGGACTTGATTACTCATGCGTACATTAATCGAAACATAGAGACCTACTTCAGCTAAGGATATGTTCTTTGCATGGAAAATTAAGAACTTTTCAGTGATGAATATCAACGTAGATTGTATATTATATCATGTGCTCTGCTTATGTCTTCTGAGGAAATAATTTCGGCCCAAAGAATTGTTAAGGAAACAGCTGCGATGGAAACAATTGTACTCTTGAAGTAGAAATTCCCAGGAGCGACTTTCTACCAACCTCGGCATTGATCAATAATTTAGTGTTTTCTTGATGAGCAGACACGAGGTTGTTGTCACAATATTTATCTCACAACGCTTAACAATTTTGTGGATTTCGCCTTCTTCAGAGCGTGTAAAGGGTCACATTGATACACAGTCTACTTAGGCATATACTTTTATTATCCCAGCGGAAAAAATTCGAATCCTAAATTTCAACTGGTGACTTTCTTAAGAAGCTGTTCCCTATGAGATCGAAATTTGCTTTCCGAATTTCTTCTGCTTTGGTTATGGAAGCACTTGGCATAGTAGACTTTAACGTCATAGTGACCCTTTTCATTCTTTGAAGACGAGAAAATCCTTCGAAACGTTAGCCGCTATAAAACAATTATTGGAAAAATTATCTGTTGTCTTTAATCAGAAGAAAACACTAATTTCTTGAAATTGTTGCCTGCCTTAGATACTAGTTCCTTCTCGATGCACTGTCCACTGAACGCATGATGATGATGTATCGACAGTTATTGCAGTCCTCACAGTTTAGTGAAAGAAACGGCAAATAGCACTCGTGAGGAAGGAAAAACACTAGAACGATTCTGTAATTTTCCTGGACATGACACTGTTTGTGTTGATTGCAAATCGACTACAATCTCAAATACCAAACGTTCTCATTATATCATTGTTGAAGTGACAAGCTCTTTTTTCTTTTAATTCACTTATCCTCTCATCGCTTTTGATTTAAAGGATTCGGTGTAGTGCCATTCACAAGACAACGAATTTTTTCGTAAGTGTATATCTGCTTTGGATATGAAAGATTCTTCCCCCGCAAAATTTAATTACTTACTTATTCCGTTCCTGTTCATCCGTAAGGCACTGCAGTATTGATGTTGTTTTTCTTCTACAACGAAATCAACGAAACGATCTTGTCAGAATGCAGTAAACATCTGGACTTTATGGAAAAAACAACAGCATTTTCAAGCTTTTTACTTGCTGAAGAGGACACGATTTCGTCTCTGTTTGTAATAGCTATTGGAAACGAGACATACTGGAAACATCGAAGGACATATCTGGTCGTCATCATGCTCTGAATTCATATGAGCTGAACAAGCGTTTTTCTCTTTGTCACGCTGTTTATTCTGATTTTATTCTTCACTGTAAAAGTTGAAGTCTAACTACAAAATTGTGAAACTCTTTGAGAAGAGAATAAAGAAAACTCTACATCCCCGATACATGCCAATTATATTCTCACCTTAGCGAATCAGTGTGTAGCAGCCAATGCCACTTCACTCTTTCACTGAATTCACGGAATCGTTCTGATGTTCGCCTACTTACTCTTTCACTACTGAACTTCTTCGTACAAATCCATTCACTCATGCTTCGTATATTATGTGTTTTCGATACGGCATCTGTTTATTGGCAACAAAGTGAGCAGGAAATAAGGCGTGTGTAGCGACGAAGATTTTATTACATCCCTGACTTTACTAATCACTTCGTTTATCATGAATAATGTAATTACAGCATATCCACATTAGTAAATGATTACTTGACAAGGTTACAGATAGTACTAGAACATTTTCGAATGCTTGATGATGGGTATAGAGGGTTTGTTCATGTTTGATTTCATAAATACCAGACTAAATCCAAATTACTCTTGGATTGCCGCAGAATGTTCACACGAAAGTCAGCCGCTTCATTTTCTGATGTTCTTCAGTGGAATTGCAACAGGTTTTTTTTATGAGGAGAAATTCCTTCAAATATTTTTCTTGTTTATTCTGAGACTTGAAATGTGAAGCTTTGAATTTACTAGATTTGTCTGCAATTTTATCATGTGTGTGACATTTTTCGAAGAAGCGTTTACCTTTTCCGTATATTTGCATGAAAATCTAACAAATACTGTCAGCTCGGAGTGCTTTTTTAGGGCATTTTATACACAAAACTCAACTAACGGCACATAATAATTGGTAATCGACTTATTTAATTAATGATCACTAGGCGGAATAAGACCTCGTACTTGAAGAAGCAATGAGGCAAGGTGCTGCGCTCCATTTAACGTAACCTTCCTTTTTACAATGACTAATATAAGGAGAACGTCTTCAAATTTTTATTACGTTCGTTTTTGTCTGAGCTACCTTCTCTTTGTAGGTAAAACCTTTTCACGCGATTCGTGAACATTTCGCAGGCTAACAGTGACCCGTGTAACTTCATGTTGTTCCAAATACGCTTTAATAAAGATTTGCTAGAACACCTGCAGTCCGAAAATATTCCAGGTGGCACGTTGGACATTTTGTTGACCACTATCATCATTTTTTCTCGTCTTCCTGTTCTTCAGAGTTTTCGGTCAAAAATCAGGTTCGTTCCGAGATTCTCATAGTGATCGTAGACAAACTGTTCGACGCATCTGATTGTCTACAATTAATTACGAATGATAAATGGTGAATTTTCGCCAAATAATTAGGCCAGGAGCTAGCGCATTTGATCAGACTGAGTTGTTGAAGCAAAGGGGCCAGTTCCCTGAACATCAGCACGGCGTTGTTAGGTCTTCTGGATTCTGGAGCACATAGTAATTAGAAACACATGCTCACATAGACACACACATACACACATATACACACCTGCATACATACATACATAAATACTACATACATACATACACACACAGTAACCATCATTATATTGCGATCAATCACCACACAGTCTTCTCTAGTCCATTCACAAATTATTCACGAGCACCGTATACTCCAAAAATGCACGTTGATTTCAAGCGCAGTTTTGTTGTATTATTTGGTGTTGTTATGCTTTGCGATTTTTGCATGAAATCGTCTTTATGTGATGACGACAAGCCTTTACCGACATTTCACGCAGTTATGAACAACTCACACAGCCTTGAGGCTGCTCGGAAATTTGAAGGTCCGCTGCTAACATAAAGCGGCGCCAAACGAATTTTGGGCGTTGTCCGACTTCACGTCATTCCTCGGCATCATACTATTATAGCATTTTGTTCATTTAGACTGACATCTCACCTTGAAATCACTGTTGCGGGCTTACCGAACTGAAACATAGAGAATGCCAAACACCTCACCATCTCAGCAGATCCTCTTGCTCTGGAAATCGATAAATTCTTTTCGGAGATTTAAGCAGCAAATTACTCGCTGTTTTCCTAATCTGAGAACAGATCACACATATCATTTTGCTAATTAGCACCTCGCCCTTTACTCAATTCTCTCTCTCCTTTCCCCTCTTCTTCCTTCAGCAATAATGCCGGCAAAGAAAGATGAATTTTGAAGGAAGATAATCCCGGACATGCTCTCGTGTAAATTATTCATGTTTGGCAAGGCGTAGTCAAAGAAAAACTGCATCCCTTAGCTCTCAGTCGCAGGTGTAAAGTATACATTGAGTCACGATGTAGTGTTTCTATCTCTTCATTGTTTTTTCATTGATTCGTTATCACTTCAGAAATCGCGAATATCTAGTGAATGTGAGATAGAACATTTAGATGAACAAATCATGTGTTCGCGACGATTGTTATATTGTTTTCAGCTGCTCACTATTGGCTCCACTCTAGGAAAAATCGCTCTCGGTCTAACGTGGCACACTCACGAATCATGGCTCACATGCCTCATTTTTGATATTTTATAAACGACACTGCAATCCATTCCATTGCTGAACTCATATCAAGCACGTTTCCCCCGTCTCTTGAAATGGCTACGTAGCTTTCACACATTCGAGCCCCATTCTCAACTATCCTGTCTTTTCAGGTTGGTCACGATATCGTGACAACATCGATTATCATTCTTACATAATTATAATGATTAGACAAAAGATATTTGCTTCGAGTTGAAGCTCGATTTAGAAAAATGCAAAAAACTCCCATTTATTGTGGGACATTTAGAATGCATCAAATTGCTAACAGGAAAACATTATTGTCCGGCTCAAATACTCTTGAGACGTTTTCTATCCTTCAGTGTTCGTAGATAGAATGAGATCTCTTACTTCATACCACTTGTCAACAATGGAACTTCAATAACAAATCTCGTATCTTTGCTTTTTTTCATGTTTTATTTAAACCGGATGCAAATTTTTCCTCTCTTCTCAACTTCCTCATTGAAAATCAGTTTAGAACACATGTATGATGGGTTTGATTTGTAGCAGCAAGCAGTTGATGTTAGCGGGACTCTTTAACGAGCTCAGTAGGCTGGTTTCCTTCCGGTGGAACAAGGCTCCCGAATTCAACTCAGCACTCAACATTCGCGCTTTCACTCACATACTCACTAACTAGTCGCAAACATACTGTAGACCATTCATTTGCTGTTTTATAACATAAACTACACTCTAACTATATACGTTCTATGTGAATCATGTAGTTCGCTTTACGAAATATATCACGTTTCAGCATGACATTTCTTTTAATCCTATCTCATGATGTGCTTGTGTACAGCACGACAGGCAGGTGAAAGTTGTTCGCTTCAGAAGTGATGAATTCGACATCGCCTAGTGGTGCGGTGACTGTGGCGAACATCGCCTATTGTTACGTACTGCCAGTCATATGCGCCATAGGAGTTATAGGTAGTACGAGTTCCTGCGCATTCAATTATGTGTTACAAAAAAATTGTTTTATCGTTTATCATCACACTTTGTAGGAAATATTACGAACTTAATTGTGTTGGCGAGTCGACGACTACGAGCAGTGTCGTACATGTACCTAAGAGCCTTGGCTGTTGCTGATTTGTTATGCATGGTATTCGTACTATTGTTCGTGACGACCGAAATTCTCACCAAGAACGGTGCACCGATAAATCAATACAGACTTTATCAGGTTTACCAGTGTCACTTCATGCTTACACTCATCAATTGGGCTCTTGGAGCTGGAGTGTACGTGGTAGTGGCACTTTCGCTTGAACGCTACATTTCTATCGTGTTTCCTTTGCACTTTCGTGCATGGAACTCACCTCAACGTGCATCAAAGGCCATTATCATTGCTTTCGTTATTCCTGCCTTGCTATACATACCATACGCCATCACAAGATACAAGAGTGTTGAGAAATGGGACCATCACGCAAATGCTACCATCTACAAAGTTGACGATCACCAGGTGTATAGGACAATCCAGTGGCAGGTAGCACATCATTTCATTGCGTTTGTATATCCAACAACACTTATATAAAAGCACATGCGGTTATAATAAATATGGAACAGTAACGAAGTAACAATACAAACAACAAACAACAAATTTTATAGATGGAGGAAGATAGCTCCGTTTACATCATCTCCTTCAGATCTACAAATGGACGCGAGAAACTATTCTTCGATTTCTGCCAATAATAATTCTGTCTGTGCTCAACATTCAAATCATGATTGCTTTTCGAAAACGACAAAAAATGTTCCAAAAGTTGACAAAACGAAAAGAACAAGGCACACACAAGGTCAGCATGATGGTCTCAAAGTATGTACAAATGGAAGCTAGACTTCATGGATATATTTCAGGACGACACTCTAATGTATATGTTAGGCGGAACTGTTTTCATGTCACTGCTTTGCAACATTCCGGCAGCTATCAATCTTCTGTTAATAGACGAGGTAATCCTTGCTCATTTTATTTGATAACGTCAAGCATTTATACTGATTATGATCGAATTACAGGCACTCAAACAAAGACTGGACTACCAAATATTCCGTGCTGTTGCGAATATTCTTGAGATTACTAACCATGCTTCACAATTCTATGTCTTCTGCGCTTGTTCAACCGACTATAGAATCACATTTCTTCAGAAGTTTCCCTGTTTCAAAAAAGCCTATGCGAATCGGTCACATTTGCGGTCATTTGCAAAGCGGACGCAGTCAGCAGTTAATAGAGACAAGGACAGTTCAGATCAACCCACGACGAGTCCAAAGGTTCATTTCGTTTCAAAATTGCAATTACGAATGTACCAGGGTCACTCCGATTCCACTAGTTGTGAGCGAAAACTTGTTGAAAAACGAATTTATTTACGGGAGGGAACTTTTCTATCGATTTTACACTTACTAGAAAATCGGTACACGAGAAGTGAGTAGTCTCCATAGAGTGTCATTTATAGTCAAGCACGTCAGAAGAGGAAAGGAAACGGTGAAATGAAGATGCTTTTTTAAATAGGAGAAAATACTGTTATAATAGGGGTAAGAAAGTCTATCACCTTCAACAGTACAGGCTTGGCATTGAAAGACCTTCTACCATAAGGAAAACTTTACTAGGTAGCCCCTCTTTTGCAAAATCATTGTTCAGCACAGTAATAGATATAAATCGATTTCAGCACATATGTGGGGCAGTTTAAACTTAGTGAAATATGTCCCAACTCATAGCAAACATTATTGGTTAAAACAGAGATCGCTTGAATCTGAGAGTCTTTTCCAACAAGATATATGCTTTCATACTCTGCCATGATGGAATTCTTATTTTCTGGAGCCCACAAAGCATGCTTTTCCCATCGAAGCTTGTTTCTGAAACGGCGAATCTATTGAACAAACCGGATTCCGTCCGACGAGACACTACTGTGTTCACGAATGCGTCGGTGATGTTTGCGGCTGCCGCGAATGTGTTAAAAAACAAATTTCATCTCGGACTTTTTGGGAACTCTAGTCCCAAGAAATTTTAAAATTGAAATGGCCACTTAGGAAAACAGCACGAGCATTTAGGGTATACAGCAAAACCTCTTCTGTGAATTTGTCTGCTAAACTTCTTAGTTCTTAAACACTAAAGCTATCGAAAAAAACATACCAGCATGTTTTCATGTGTTAAGACCTAAACATTGTGTAAAACCATTTAAAACCTGTGCATATTTAGGCAGCTGACTGGCATAATTCAAAATTATGTGCTGAACCGAACGATCCAGAAACTGCCGATATTCATTTAGCATCTGCAGAAGAAAGTCTTAGCGATGGGAAAGAATCGGACTCCCTCATTAGATATGGTGGAGCAGCGATCAAACTCTCCAGAGATGCTAATGGTAGTACTCTTTCACAGTAATTATGTCCACTGTTTCATCACTTTAACGATGAGCTCACATATGTCTCCCCATTATATTGAGATTACAATGCCCTTCATAAATAGTTAATTTCAAGTGAAAGAGAGTGGGTAATGCTAATCCTGTATTTCAAAACTTGGATTTAGTTCCTCTTACAATCTTCGAGAGCTTCGTGCAATTGGAAACGACAAAACGTGAATTCGAAGAAGACAAGCTGAAATCGCTAAGAAAATGTAACACATATGACACGTTCGGACCGGAAAATGCTAATGCGGACTCTTTACTAACAAAAGCGGAGACCCGTTGAGACAATTCCTCGCAACTTTTTTTCCTCATCATGACGGTGAGGAGACCGCCATCTTCATTGCGACTGATCTCAGAAAGAAACGTATCGGTGCCATTGGTAAGTAACACTTCACTAGAGGTTGGCTCATGAATGAAAGCTTCAGATTGTGATATTTATTACTGATTACTTATATACGTCATAAAAACTCTTTCTCATTTTCTTATTCACATAAAGACAAATAAACACCAGGAAGGCTCATAGTTCGGCTATGCATACATAAATTATTACAAATACATATATACGTATACGAATTATAAAATGCATTAGAGCCGTTAGTAGACTGAATATGAACGGAAAATGTTGTAATGAAGATGAAATTGGCGAAAACTGAAAATGTAATTCCGATGAAGATCCTTTTATTTTAGAGAATGTCTATCTTAGAGGATAATATACCTAGTAAATTGATTCGAAAAAATGTGTCATTCTTCATCAGACATGGTGACAAGTATAAAGTGACATTAAAAAGTCTTAGTGGTGCGAAGGCAATTTGAAATGGCACTGCTGCTACAACAATAGCACGAACAGTGGCGAAAAGAACCTGGTGGCTTCTACAAAGTGCGATAAAGTCAGTGTTAGTAGAAGTACTGAATCTTAACAAACAATTAAGCAAATATAGCTATACAGGTTAATTTTCTTGCCACAGGTACTGTGGCATAAATAGACTATCCGATCTATCGGCACTTCTTTACACACTAGTATGAATCCATCATATCCAATTTAACGGAATAGATATCCTACCATCACTCATTACGTACACATTGGGATTGTGTGATAATTTTACACCCAAACCTCGAAGGCTTTCTCGTACTTCGTTGTCTAGACTACGTAGCCGATGAATGCATTGCAGTACCTGCTCTGGACGCATTCCAAGCTCCCATTCCAATGAAGATAGTTTGAGGTGAGATTCACAATCAGCCCGATTCACCTCAAGCTCCGCCTTTAACGACATAAGGTTTAGTCACAATCTTAAGCGTTTTACTTACTGCCTACTAGTTTCAATAGCAGGGTAGTTTTCAACGGTCAATCGATCAAAAACAACGGTCCGGAGTTTTGCAAATATCTTAGCAATGTTGAAGTTATATTTCGCATTATACCCTGTCATTGAAAATAGTAGGCAGTAGGTAAAACGGTTAAGATTGTGATTATAACTAAAGCCTCAGCTTAACTGGGTACATTACCGATTTGGGCTCTTCAGATCAATCCCGCTGATGGGTGACTGCTGACGGCAGAGATCGATAGAACTAGCTGAGAGACAGGAGAAACGAAGGACCCCCATGGTGTGGTAGTGAGCGCGTTACACCCCGGAAAGGACGATAGCGCGTTCGTTCCCCACCGCAGACACCTGCGGTCCGGAGTTTCGCAAATATCTCAGCATCGTTGAAGTCATAAGCTTTAGTCTTCAAAAAAATACGGGAGGAAGAAAAATAAAAGAATAAGGAAAAATTGCGCAAATGAAATGTATACTTATTTATACATTTTTATGAACTGGTCCTGATGAGCTGATGCGAAGTTGCTGTAGTTGTCGTTGTTGTTGTTGTTGTTGTTGTTGCTGTCGCTGTTGTTGTTGTTGGTCGATGGCTGAGGTTCCAGCGATTTCTCCTTCCTAAGCACTATGATGTTACGAATGCAACTCGAGTTAGCCATCGAACAACAACAACGACAAGTTAGACCAACCTCGCATCAGCTCAAAAAAATCAATTTACAAGCACGTGTAAAAAAACATATCGATTGCTTATGCTGAGGTTATAGAAAGTTGGTCTCTTGAGTTATTAAAAAAATGGATTTTATATACTACGCCGATAAAACCTAAATCAAACCATGTGCTGAAGCATAGCTTTCCGAGCTAAGCGAGAAGCTTCAGCGGAATCTTTGAAAAAACCACACAGCAATAAAATATCCACATTGCATGGAATTAGAAGTCGACCATCCCTACCAATTGCCAACTCATCATATGATGTTACCACCTAAATGTCATCAAACAAATGAGAACATGAAAAAAAAAACGAACATTAAATTTACCTCCACCAAAGTGCCTCTTCCGTACTCTGCTAGCTTCGGTACTAGATTCTCTCGACTTTTTATCCTGAACAAGTAAACATAACCAGATGTTATAAACCTGGTCTGTGTCAGTCTTACGAAACTAGTCTTAATTAGAACCAACTGTGAATGCACAAGATCTTAAGCCGTCTTAACACAATACTTAAAGTACCTACTATTGAAATCCGATGCGAATGATGAAGAAATGAGGAAGGAGGTTAAACATCACCAAGAGAAACTAACAAGGAATTCACCAACCTCGCAGTAAGTGATGTAATCTGCTGAAGTGTTTGAGGGAGGCCATAATGTGGTGGAACGATGACGACAGCTCCTGCAAGCAAACGTCGCAATTCAGCAACAGCATCTCCTAGTTTTGGCAAATATGAACGCTTCACAGAGAAATCGATGCAAACCTAAAATTGCGAAAAACTCACAAAATTCGATAACATTGTGACAATTAGAGGTATATGATTTCGTGACAATATTACGTGAAAGACAGGAAGCACCTGGCATTGACGAGAAATACATGAGCGGCGAGAAAGTGCGGGAATGCAGAAGGGACGGTATAAACCATGTAGAACTAGAGAATACCATACACAATTTTACACGTCATTTAAATAACCTATTAAATGAAGAGCACTATGGCGCGTGTAACGCAGCGGTCGCAGGCGCTCAGCAATACACATGGGATCGCTCCCCGCGCCCCATACCCACCAAGCCTTCCATCCTTCCGGAGTCGGTAAATTGATGCCAGACTTGTCTGTGAGGGTAGCAGCACTGACTCGACACATTGTAGCTCACCGCGAGTCATTGTAAAGGACAGATATGCATTGAATAACCTCCAACGATGTTTAATGAATTCAGATTCATGGCGCATCCCTCTGGTGTTGATCAACGCCAAGATCCTCATCCTTTTTTTTTTTACTAAGAATACTATGAAGTTGCAAATCTCGAAATCAAAACCCTATATCTGGCACTTTCTTCTTGAAAATTATACTATTCGCTTCAGACATTTGCTCACAAACCTGACAAGCAAGCCACTTATATTTTACCTACGAAGGGTTTTCATTGTAAAAACCATGGGAAACGGTGTATGCAAATATAGCAGGGAAATTTATCGAAATAGTGATTTTATCGAAACAAGTATGAAACTTCTTAAGATGGATCGCGCACGAAACACAGAACGTCAAGTAGTGGAACAATGCAAATGAATTAGATCGCTCATCAAAGAAAAAAACGGAATGTATTGGAAGGAAATAATAGAGGATTGAACCAAACGTACAACATCAGAGAAGAACGGATGAGAGAGAGAGGGGACGGGAAGAGTTATTTGAGGTGTCGTTCAGGCACCTAGACAAAAAGTATATAGTGGTATACTTCAGTTTAAACTCTGAAAAGCAATGGCAATTGCAGCAGTTCCTACACCTTCTTCTGCTCGGATTAATAAGGATAAATAGAAATAAAATCGCGAATACGAGGAACGCTTCAATAAACAGCGATATATGTTTTGTAATCAGTAAATCTTGAAATAGGGCAGTCTCATGTCTTACCTGCTCCCATTGTTCTGGCACATTATCAGCTCCAAGTTGAATTGAACCATCACAACACACAAAAGAACCGCGTCCAAACCTAGCCATGGCAATTGAAAGTTTATCAATCGAAAGAAAAGGCTACAACATACAGTGCATCTGTCTTTGTAGCAGGTGTGCATTCACGAATGATCATAACAAAGAGCCGTTAAAGTAATTTAAACCAACAGAGGCCATATTGTAGAAATAAAGTAACAATAACCTGTGGAAGACTTGAAAACATGGGTACATATCGGCCTACCCGAGCATGGTTTCTAAACCCACTACTGAAACCTCTAACTGAAACAGGAAACTAGAAAACCGACCTCAGGATGTTCTTGTACAGAGCCTGAATAATAGATTGTTTTGTCGCCGGTGTAGCTTGATTAAGAAGCCTTTTCAAATTACCCAAACATCTCTTCATATGTGACTCTTCCCAATCCATCTGCCAAACCACCTAAACAATGAAGCACTAAATCAAAACACTTTGCTCTAAAAATAAAAGGTAGAGAATTATAATGTGTCCCACATCTTTAGCACCGGTTCGCCATTTGATATCGTTTATATCATCTTTAAGTGACAGTTTTGTGATCCTAAATGTTATAATAACATGAAGTATAAAGGTAATATCGAATTAAGGATACCGATGAGGGAGGATGCGAAAGAATATAAGGTGAGAAATATCCATACTCGGCTTCCTTCGATTTACGTAGAGCATCCATGCGAGACTTCCTCAAAATGGATGCGAGATCATTTTTGAGATGTTCCCGGTTCTTATTCCGCAAGTAACTGAGAAGGATACCATGAATATGTCAGTGCTCAAAAAAAAAAGAAAAGAAATGAAAGAAAAACAAGAAGTGGACGACTTGCGTTTCCATGAGATCTTGGTTTATGTTTGAGGCTTCTTGAAACGAAGATATATTTTCCTTCGACCCCCAAGCACCTTCGGTTTTTGATTCGTAAAGGAAAATTTCGTTTGTAGGCAATTTACAGCTCTCAAGGGCTCGTCTGAAAACTAACAGTTTCTCCTGTAAAGAGTATCCAGTATATCTCACGAATCAATTTGCAACACAAACAATCTCGGTGTGATAAAAGCTAGAAGAGGAATTGACCACTAACTTAGCAATACTCATGGGATCCGTTCCACTAAGCATGATTTCTATATCTTCAAAACCGTCCTTCTCGTTGTTTAAAATCGAAAAACGGATGGAGGTCGGGCAGATGTTCCTTGATATAGGAAACAAGTCGTTCAAATACCCATTGAAAACCTGAAACTAACCATGTGTCTTTAAATAAAAACAAACAGCCATAAAAAAGGATAAAGCTCTTGGTGTTGATCATTCCCTGAGGGATGCGCCATTCATTATTCGACATCATTAAGCATCGTTGGAGGTGATTGAATACGTACTTAACCTCTACAATGACTCGCGGTGGCGTACCGATGTGTTGAACCTGCCATCCTCCCAGACGAGTCTGATACCAATTTGCCGACACCGGAGGGATGGAAGGCTTAGTAAATCGTGGGAGCAGGGAACGATCCCATTTATACTGTAGGGCGCCTCCGACCACTGCGCTACACGCAGCCTCTAATATAGCACTCCCTGCAGACAAATTTGCTGTCAATATTATAACCGGCTTGAAAGTTGTCCAAACAGAACTTCAGGTTCCCTATTATGGACTAGTCAATCGCTGTTGGATGATTAACAAGGTACTTGATGTAAAACAACTCTAATCAATCAGAAAAGTAGCTCGATATTGTAGATCATTTCTTTCCCTTCAGATTTCATCTGTCAACGACAACGTAAAATAGCTGGAAGGTCTTCTTGAAAAAAAAAGGAGGGAAAAAACGTAAAAAGTACGGAGCTAGCATCGCCTTTATCAAGATTGGACGAGTTTCCCCTTCCCCCCTCTACAACTGTACCAATGAATGAGGGAATGAATGACCGGATATGAGATGGTAAGGTGAAATTGGACGGAAATGTCACAATGTTCACCTGAAGTGACTTCTCGTTTTGTGCTCTGATCCGAGGATTCCTGGAAAATCGATCCGGATGAACAGCAAAATAAAAAGGTCGCAATGCAATAGTGACATCCTGCAGTGATACACCCCGATGCTTCATCTGAAACAGAAAACTTAGCGTAATCTCCAACGTCTTTCATGGACGATACGCGAAAGCAATATGAGAACGAAAAGCGAACTCGTGGAAATACGGGAGACTAGCAGCAGAGCAACTAGTACGCATTGGCATTGGAGCACGCAAACGTCCTCAGTGATAAACACAGGACTTACGGGAAGCAACGACGTACTTTCAGTTCACTAGTGAAGAATCGTTTGGTTTTTTTCTTGTGAATAGTTTTAAACAGTATCGATCCGTATTTCTTACGCTTGATTGCAAGAATCTGCAAGGAAAGAGAGAATATAAAAGGAAAAACAATTATAATTGTTAGTTAAAATGAAAAGAGAAATGAAGGAGTGATTTTGTGGTTTCCTACGAACAAATTTATGTTCATTTTACGACATACATGCTTTCCACCCACGTATTCCCCTCATAGTGGGATTACTAGCCAGTTAGTGACGTGGCAACGTAGCACGTTCCCAGGAGGTTAGTGGAGGTTAATCGCAGACCAAAAGCGAATTTATGCTTGTCTTTAACGCATATGGATCCAAAGGATGGACTCACCTATCTGCTGCGCCGATTTGGTATATATCTCCTATTTTTACCAGGACGTATTTATACATGCGTGCATGGTTGTGTTCTGGCTTATGCGGGTTGTATTTTACGAGTCGATTCTTCTAAAAAACTTCAATCAGGTGATAGAGAGGTATATGGGGTCGGCTAAGATTCAACTGCAACAAATAAGCTCCTCGTCTAAACTAAGAGCATTTGGCCAAGAACCTGTGAGAGTATCCATGCCCATGTTAATAGGCGAGGTAAAAGTGGGTATCAAACGCTAACCAAATTCAAATAAGTGCGCTCCATTCCCGTGATTCCCGCAAGAGCCTCTAACACGGCGGGTTGGGTAGAACGAGTATGGAGGAGTTGCCAAAATCTCAGGGTCATTCTATGCTGCCTAAATTACGAGGAGCAAGGTGACGATCTGTACCTGCAATGCACGCGCACTTGCATCTGAGTACTTGAAGGAGTATTTGATCATACCGACAAGAAGGTAGAACACGACGTTATCGGACTGGATTATAACGAGGAAGGACTGCTCCACGGAACAAATGATAGTAGAATTTCAAGAACAAAATCTCAAAACCACCATAACCCGGGATTTATTTAGATCATTGATCGGCTGCTGAGTAGATGCGATAATTGATAACATCTTCAGAAGCACCCACAGGCCAGTGCCAACTTAAATGTATCCGAACTTACAAAACACTACAGAAGAAAGACAAAAAATTTTAAGTAGCGAACAGTAGCAGTTGTGGTTTCATAAACTAGGAAAAGCGTTCGCCAAACCTATGAAAACTTCGCCAATTACAAGATCAAGACGATACTACACCCAGGTTGATGCAAGCTGCGAAAGCACTTACGCATATTATAGGTGTTCGCCCAAATAGGCGCTTGAATCCACTGAGAATCTGCCCGCAGCTCCTTCCATTTATTTGTGTTATATGTCTTTCTTATTATTACTGGCTCCGATGTTTTTCCTTATCAACCAGTATTTTCCTTTATCCCGAAAATGTGAAAGGCTTCGAAAATTTGGGCTGCGTATTGCGGCATTACGTTGGGAACGCCGGTTAAATTTCAACAGACATTGCTGAGGCACTCTGTTGGTAGTGCGCAGATTTCTTGACGTGGGTGAGGTATCAGCTTACGTCTTTGCACCATAACAGAGTGCCAGGAGAATTTTTTAATTGAAGAGCTAAGAACGAAGCCTTCGGTCTGCTAGTTCGTCGGTGGCTTCCAAGAAGCCTGATTGCAGCCCATTCTGCTGTTCTTGTTTTGTTTTTTCCTCCTGAATGCTGTTTTACATTTTCATTGAACCTTTAAGAAACACATACTAGGCACTTTGTGTAATCAGAAAAGCACTGAGTACGATCTGTTCGCCTTCGCCTTATGGGTTCTACACGAATGGTGTTGTTTTCCGATTTTTGCGAAGTACTGTCTTTTTTCCGCTTCGTTAAGATCATTATGCATTGTCGTTGCTTTGCTGAAATTTCCCAAAAAGATGAAGTCGTCGGTAGCAAAACGAAGATTAATGCAAATTTGCCACAAATGCGTGTGCTCTTCTCGACCTAGTCGTGCCGCTTCATTATCCATTACAATGCAGTTGTAAGTAACTTTGGCAAAATAGTGTTGCCATATCCGGCCATGTTGTGACAGAGCAGTCAACTAGGGTTCTTATATAATACAGGACCATTCCTTGGTCTGCAAGCGCCTATGAGATTACTCTGTCTCAATAGTGTCAAATGCTTTTCCACGGTCGTCAAAACTTAACACATGCGACAAGCGATACTCTCGATAGAAATAGCTGCCGCTATAAAACGTTGCTTAAAATGTCTTAATGGTGGTGGTCAAAATACCACCGAACACTCTTAAACGTAGGTTGTTCGTTGCCTCCTGTATGTACGTCTACGGTCGGCGAATAATTGCATAACATGCCATAAGGTAGAGATAGTGATTGCGTGAGTTCGGGTGCGGCTTAGTGTTCTTTTGTAAATCGTGCGGGAACGAAGCAAAACATGGCAAAAAGGGAGACGACTCTGTATTCGCATAAAAGAATACCTTGACCGTAAACTTAAAATTAAACCATAAAACTTTTTAAACTCTTTGCCTGAAGAACAAGCGATTTTGCCGTAAGCTTCGATTTCTTCGAGACAAGGTTATAGTCATCGGCTGAGTTTTCCCTGGTCAAAGAGTCATGAAGAGATGTTTTCTTTGACAACCTTTTCATCACATACGACTGTGTCATGCTGTAAATTGTGTTATATGCCAGCGGGCAGGTACCATGAGGAAACCGAGAAAATGCATCATGAACTTGTTAGACTGAATGTAAGCACTCTTTAACATAACAACTCCCTATCACGCGCCCTGCACCTACCACTGTAATAGTTGGAACAGTTTAGAAACAAGACTCCGCCTCGCCTATCATATCTAATGAACTCTCTTCAGGCAATGACATAACACGCAATAGCGGTTGTTTAAGAATTGGTGACAATTTTATTTGAAGAGTTTAGAATCTCTTATATTGTAAAAAATACTTTACAGTTTTAATATCGTGTACAAACGATTTATATAAAATACGTCCAGTCTCTTAAATCTAGTTACAGAAAGAGTTTTCAAAAAATTGAAGCTCGTACACAGTTTCCAACAGAAGAGTGAAGACATTCGCCATCCCAGACGAAATTTCACTTGTTCGTCTTCTTTCATTTTAAAAATATGAGACTCTGTAGAAAGGTGAACAGATACGTTTCAATGGCTACAGAATATCGGGTTTCAGTAGAATACGACTGTTTTATTTGGTTGGCAGAAACCTGCGCTCTTTTGTTAGCTTCCATTTCCATCAATGAAATTAATTGTGTTCGAAAAAAAGTTGGTTAAAACTAGAAATCTGTCATCATTGTTGCACAAAATACATCGAATTCAAGTTTATTACTTGGAAACTTAGATGAGCCGACTGGTCACTTTGAACTTGATGAGTCACTTGTAAAGGCAGTCATGTTCTTTTACAATTTCGAAGCCAACTTGAGGACTTCTCCACTACCCTCATTGGCATCCTCAGTCATATTGAAGAGTAATTTTCTGAAAAAAAAACATCAGATATCGTGTTGAGCAGAGGAAGCATCACTACTATGCGATTCGAATTCTTCCAGATGAACAGGAATTCTTGAGATGGTAGCGATTCTGCGAGCGACAACTCTATAACGGTGTAACGAGGCGAATGCAAAAAATTAAAACTGACATATTGAAATTTAAATCTTGAAACAAAAGGTTCCATCGCATAGGTTTTCCGCAAACTGACGTAGCGAAGTTATGGGGCATCTAAATGAGATTTAGTAATAGGGCTTATTTTCCAAGCAAGATAAGCCTGGATGATAAAGAGATAGAAACTGTGATCCGCGTAGTAAATAAACAGCTAATTAAGTTGAGCTATGCCTATTCTACAAGTAGTTCGAGCAGTGGTATAAAATGTACTTCTAAACTTGCTGCAGAAGACTTTGACGTCAAAATAAGGACTAGCAAGAGAGTATACAGGTAGTTTAGATAGTTTCATAGAGGCGGAAGCTGAATTGGAAACTGCTATAAACAAAACTTTTTTCGTTGTAGTTCTATTTTTTCAAAAACACATTTTGTGTAGAAGAAAATCATTGTCAGATATGGGAATGGCAACTACGCACTCTGACGAAACTTGAACTAATGCTTAGCAACAATGCACGGCGCTTACTTGAGATCCATGGTAACGTAATTATATGATGGGGCTACTTCAGTATTATCCGTAAAGATTTTGTCTCATCCAAAGTGAGGATGGTTATTCGATTGCTTAAGGGTAAAAGGAGTAGAGTATGGCCTTGATATTACAAGTATAAATGTTCCCTTACATGTTCTAGTTGTAGAGAGTGAGAGGTAGGGAGTAAGTATAGAGATAACGCCAATGTGCTAAAGCTCTTCAGTTAGAAAAATTTTTCGAACCCACCTCTATTGTGCTTAAAAAAGAAGATTTAAACCATGACATTGTAACACATCTCGCAAGATTTTTACTAAGGGCCTAGAATATTTCTGGCAGGAAGGCCAACAACCAAAGGAGGAACAAAGCACTCTGCAATAGCCAAGATAAAAGAACAAGTCTAACGAGAAAAAACATTCCTGTCGTTAACTACCAAAATACTTAGGTTTTCGAGAAAGCAGTTATTAAATAATGGATTATCAAATATAAAGGAAAATTGAAATATTTTAAAGTTCCTTATTTTCCGCTCGTCCATATTTCCTTAGACGTTATTAAATTATAACGGCATTATATTAAACACGACTCACCAGGGATTCCCTGAGTTTCGCCTTTGTAAGTGTTATAATGGAATCGGTACTGCATCTTTTAACACCGCACTTGCCCAAAGCTCCGTAGACGAACCCACCATTCAGTATTCAACTAGCCGTTTTCTCAACACTGATCAAGTTGAAGGAAGTTGGAACAATTTGTGCCTGAGTAAATGCTGTTGTAAAAATTCTAAAAACGGAAGAAATCGATAAGATTGAACTTTTAGACAACGTAAGAGATGAAACGATAAGCACGCATTCTGTTTGTTTAAAAAAAGTCAGCAAGTGTTTATAGTGACTTCGAATTTCTTCACCTGTCATGTAGCACTTTAGCTTTGACTGACATTTCAGCGATGTAATCGCTGCGAATCGGGTTTGGTGGAGTGCTGCACAAACAAAGTGGTGCTCTCAACGCAGTAGTATCATTTTATATTGCTGAAATACTGTGCACGCATGAGGACATACTTTCTTGATGAAAATCTTTCCTAGTGAAATTTTTGTTGTAGATGATACGTAGAAGACTCAGTATATTTTTCTTGAACAGATTTCTTCCAATATTTTTAAAATGGGTCATTAGAATCATAATTTTGAATAAGCCACCACCTGTGTGTTGAAGAATTCTATTGCACCAAACACTATGATGCTGAGGTATTCTCAAAATTTGGACTCCAGGCAAGATGGAACCACTACCACTCTTTCCGGCGGTTCACGTGTTGAGCACTCCACCACTAAGGTGGTTGCTTTGCCTTTTTCTCAACCAGTTTTCTACCTAACGACGCCATCAGCAATCACCAGTCAACAAAGTAGATCTGAGGAGTAGAAAACGGAATTGAACCCAGTTAACCTGAGGTTGTAGTCGAAATCACAATGTCAACCATCTATTTACTGCCTTCTGTAATTTTACCCAGCAGAGTATTACGTGAGATGCACCAACAATGACTTGTGCTCCCTATATCACTTCCGTTGACGGGTGATTGCACATGGCGTCGCTAGTTAGAAAACCAGCTGGGAGGAAGGCAGAGAAAGAGGCTCAGTGGTGAAGTGTGCAAAACCGCGCCCCCGAAAAAGGTAATCGTGGTCCG